GGCGCGGGCAGCCCCGCGGGGCGCGGCCTGCTCCTCCTGGGAGCCCTGGCCGTGCCCCTGCCTCTCCTGTCACTGTGTGGTCTGGTGGGCGATTTCTCCCATGAGAAGCTGCAGTCTTCCTAATTGCTGGATTTTAGCAATTAATGATTTTGAATGGAAACGCTCCTGAAGGCTTCCTGTTGGTCAAATCAAAATGAACGATCGGGAGCTTGGAGTTAGCCTTGCTTTGGTGATAACACACTATGAAACACACGGTGCATCTCAGTGGGCCAGAATTTTTAAAGCAGCTTTGAACTGCGGTGCTTAAGTTGAAACACCTACTTTAGGTTTAGTAATGACTACGAATTATTTAACAGATGTTTTTTTACAGTAGTGGTGGGAGGTCCTTATCAGGAGAAGTTTTTAGTAACAACTTAATTATTTTCATAGATAATTTACAGATTAATTCCTATTCCACTGTGGAAGCATATATGTAGTTCTCTAAAGGCAGTAGAAGAAACACTGTTGCCTCTGAAATTAGACAGCAGTTTGAGGGTTTGGGGCCAGGTGATGAGTGATATCTGCAGGAGATAATATGACTTTAGTATATGTTTATTTTACATAAATACCCTGAAAGGGACTCTCCATTTTAGTAGCTGTCCAGTTTAGCAGCTGATCTGAAATTATCTTTTAGAGCATTTCACCTCTCACCTGAATAGAATTATGTATTATATTTCCTTCTGACCTCAAAGCCTGCTAGTAATTGTTTCCTTTTTCAAACAAAAGTTATCCAGAATTAAGGGCTTGAAGGTTCAGCCACTGACAAGTAAGAGGTGCAATTTTCCTATCTCTAACGGAATTAAAAACTACTCTAGCTTTTGAACAGGAGTGCAGCATGAAATAACTTGATGATTGTACACTGCTGAGAAAAACTAAGTATTGAAGACAAAATATCCTGTAATTCTTTCTGTTGAAAACTCTAAATATAATAAATCAAGGACTAGTGACTGTCATTTTATCCAAATGCAATTCTCTTGTCCATGCTGTTGTTCTTAAATGTTAACATGAGTGAAATGTTGAACTCTTATATTTATGAAAAATGCAAAGAAGAATACAGGAAAAGTTTCCTAAGCTCTTAATTAGGGTACTCATCGCAAGTTTAATTGTTTTCAAAACTACGTTAAACACTCTAGTTTCTCTCTCTTCTTCGGTAGCTTACTTATTCTTCAGTGTTCCCTGTACATCTGGCCTGTCACTGGTGAGAGCTTAGTGATGTTTAACAATATTTGGGTGTGCACAGACAATTGCAAGAGTCCAGTTTAGAGTTGCTGCATCTCCTCAGTGGCGTTACAGTCGTTATGGTACAGAGCCAAATTGTCTTCATTGGCATTTGAAGTGTATTCTTTCCATGACAACAAACCCTTCAGTACTGTGCGCTGCACAGTATGTGTAGTACAGAAGTATGAGTAGGGGTTTGGTTGCTCCATCTTAGCTGAGAAGGGCCATTTAATTGCTCAGTCATGGCTGTTTCCAGTTGTTGAGTTACACTTCTGTCTGCCAGCACTCGAGTTCTGGTAGATGTGACAGTGGTGTTTTGCCAGCTTACTCATTCTGTCAATCTGTCTTGCATTTTCTACTGAAACTGCCGATTCCTCATTTCCCTTTCATTGAGATGAGTGGACACGTGCTAGATCATTAGCTGTCATAGTTTGTGGTCTGTTGTAGTATGTTAAGTTAGATTTATGCTAGCGGGTTGGACTCTTAAACAGCAATATTTCTGACACAGGAATTTTTTTACTAGAGCAGTCACTTGCAGCACAGTTACTAGGAGGACATTTGGGCAGAACAACTCTTAAAACCAATATGACTGATTGTGAAAAGTTCTTTAAAACCCTAGTGACAGTCAGTGTCTTTCATGAGACAATTTCAAAGGGCTGAAATTACTTTCCATCTTGCAAGTTGCTACAGAATAGGCTGTAGACCTGTAAATATACAGAGACTGAAGTTATCAAAGCACAAAATTTATGAACCTGCTTGTCACAGTTCTTATAGGTAGAGGAATGTGAAACATTGAGAAAAGAAATGTTTGGACGCAGGAAGGAATTATTCTTAACTTCCATTTAAAAACAGTATCTATAAGTTTAAAATATCCTTGTCCTCTGAATGATTGTAAAGTCAGAAGCTCTGCTGGTTCTGTACGTTGAACCACCTGGACAGGTGTCACGCTATGATAAGAAGGCACATATCACCAGATTAATTTTGAAAAAAGAAGCTTATTAGGAAATTACAGTAGGAGTCCTATTTTATTTCATTTTGATGACTGACACCTGTGCCTTTTTTACCTGTCAGTGTACTGTAATGTAACATATAGCAGATTTGTTACTGTAGAAACTTGGTGAGGAAATACTGACTTCAGATGACCACATATGCACAGTGGCTTCATTCTGACAGTTTTATTCGTCCAAAATTCTAAATATGTTCTTGATTTTGTAATGTGTTAAAAATTTATATTTCCTAAACCATCATTTTTCTTATATCCTATGTAGTTAAGTACTAAACAGGAATAACCATTTATGTGAAACTTATTTTAAATATGTTATGTATCTGGTCAGACCATCTCCTTTGCTATGTGATTTGAAATCTAACACTGGATTTAACAAGGCTGTTCTTTGACTGGAGAGGGAAGGCTCAAGCTTATAGTTCTTCACATACATAATTGTGATAATGTTGGGATTTAAAACTTATGTAGAAAAACTTGGTATTCACTGCTTTGCCTTCAGAGTGATGCAGGCATTCTTATGTTTATGTCTTGTTTCATCATACACTGTGCGGTGGGTTCAGGAAACAAGTACATATGTGTACTTGTCCATAATACTCAATGCCATTGGAAGTCAGATATCTTTAAACTGTGTGTTAAAGATCAGTTTTGTCACCTGCTTGAGGTGTCTTTCTTATCATTAATAAATAGAAAGAGAGAGATGTGGGCATACAAATATACATATGACTTGCGAATTCTGTGTCTCAGAGTACCTGTAGATCTTCTTGATTTTAAATAAGAGTTTTATCTGCATTAAGAATTTGGGGGATGACTGATGGGTTGCTTGGTTGGGGAACAACCTACTCAGTTTTGGGAAATGAAAGTGGTTGTTACCTCAAGATCTGGAGAAGAGCTTTAGCATAACAAAAATGGCAAAGGTGAGTGTGATAGCATATAGTTCATTAGTGATTATTAACTATCAGCTGTGTATTAGATAGTGAAAGTTTTTTAGCTTATAGAGGATATATAGTCCCTTTAAATAAAACTGCAGATTCACTATGTGTGTTTATTGCTTTTGGAATAAAATATTGCAATTTATTGGCAAAGTGAATAGACTATGGCGATTATTATTTTGATCTGAATGCATATAAAGGGAAATAAAGTAATCTGGAAATAGATTTCGTAGTGATGCTATGTAGTCTAGAGTTTGCTTAACCTTGAGATTTTTCTAAGATTTATTTTTGAAACAGTTTTAATATAAAGCCTCCTTTGGATTAGCAGCAAGTAAAAATTTCAAGAATGTGGCATGGTGCACTGTCAAGACCTTGGTCATACAGGCATAAATAGCCTTACAAATCTCAGAATTAAATACGTGAATTTAAGGAGACTGCCACCCTAAGTGTGTGTTTGTTCTGAGTAGTGGTTCTATCATCTGTTAAAAGAACAAAGTTGAGCGATTAACATGAACAGTATGTTTTTGTGTGATAGTTAATTGAATTGAGAACTTGCTGCAGTTAAACATCAGATTAATACAATAAAAGTGTGAGGAGGCAGTAAGGAATTTTAATTTTTTAATAAACTGTACAAATACTAACTTACTTTGTAAATGACAGCTACTTGAATTATAATTAGTGTCAAACCTCTCTAATGTCCTCATATAAAAATGGGGTCTGTATGAGATCGAGCGTAATTTTTGTCCTGTAGAAGTCTTGTATACTTTTTTAATATTAGTACTACATAACAACATAATTTTTGTTGTGTTTGTTTTGCCCTCTTGAAGCTTAACCTTGGAGACGATATCATGAAAGTTGTAATCGATTGGAGCAAGCTTCAAAGCACACCTGCACTTCAGCCAACAGTACTCTTTAGTGCACTTCAGCAGCATATTTTATGTTTGCAGGTAAATATTTTGTTGGGCACGTTCAACCTGATAAAAGTGATCAGCAGCTGAATGTAGCTATACTAAATGGAATGTAAAATGCCAGTCGCTTTGATCTTAATATTGCTATGTCCAACAAAAAAGGATGCAAAAGTATTATATGCTTGGGATTCCACTGTGGTTCATAGGGACTTAAAGATTTTTCAGATTAGTGGTGGGAACAGCCACTGTAGGTGAGCAGGCTGAATAAATGCAGCCTCATTGATTTCTAGACTTGCACTGTAGATGGGATACATTTCCATCTATGGTGGGTTATAATTAAGCAATAAGACACGGCAGGTGTGTGTCATGCTATGATAATGATTCCATGCGTTGGGTGAGTTTTGAGGCTCATGGAGTGCTTTCAGTGGTTCAAGAAGTGGCATTATCCCAGCATGACACATCCTGGAGTGTCTTGCTGCAATTAAATATATTTTCAGCACAGAGTTGTTTTTTGGGGGGTTTTTTTTGCTGTTGTTGTTGGAGGTTTTTTTAAGAGTAATTTCTTTGACATTAATGTCTCATCTTGCCAAGTAGCCCGTCACCATTACTGTTATTTCTTTTAACTATTTGAAACTTTCCAACCCTACCAAAAGTACGTCTAATTCACTTGCATGCCAGGGACGTGAACAGTTTGTCAGCCAGTAACTGAACAGTGTTTTGACCTTGGTAGTTCATCTGTAAACTATGAAGGTTTAAACATAGTTTTTTACTTCAGCTAGTCAACTAATTATTTCAAGTGTGTCATTCTGAGAGGGTGAAAAAGGAAGTGCCTGTATTTTCTTGTCTGTAGGTAAAAGAGAAGTCCCTTTATGTTTTCTGGAGATCCACCAAATCTTTGGTGTGCTAAACAAAAAGAGAAAATATGCTAGATAAAAGCAAGTAGAAATTGCATCCTACTGTAAGAACACTGCAAGTAGAAATGTTATTCTGTTTCAGGATATGTGACTGCTAGAAATCGTATTGTCTTTAAAAAAAAAATTGAGGGAAAATAAACAGTGAAATGCAGACTAGATGAAACTGGTAAAAAATAAAATAGTGGCTGTGATGTATAAATGTACTGAGGTTTTGTTATGAGATCTTGTGTAAGAGTTATTGCAGTAGAATAACAAGCATTTACTTTTGCTGCTACAAATGTCAGTGCATTCTCTCATTTAATTTCATGACCTAAGTAGATAATCAACCGTGTCAAGAAAAGCATGTGTTCAGGATAACGCCTATGTGTTTCATGTCTGTGTTCTCCCTTGTTCACTTGGGCAACTGCAGTTTCAAGTGGAGGATGTAGTACTGTGGTGATAAAGTAGAGGCTTTACAGTGTGAAAGCATTGGCTTTCACGTTAAAGAGGAAGAATACTAAGCCTTACTGTTCTGAGTGGGCATTTGAATGACATGCTAATTAAGTGGCATTGGTGCCAACGATTGAAGCTTTGATTTAGCTAGTTACAGATGAGAGGCAGGCAGATTTTTGAAGAAATTTTGCAGAAAATCTCTAAAAGGCATAGGTCAAAAAGGCCAGAATCACGGTGTGCACAGTATTTGAAACTACAGCTTTTTCTTTTTTCCTTTTAAAAAATGTTGTTTATGTGTTCTATCAGAAGCAGATTATGTAATTCCTAAAATTATTTCAGTCAATCTGTTTTAGAAATTTTAATAGTACTTGGCTTTTTACTTTTTGTTTTGGGGATTTTTTGGCTTTTTTATTTTTGTAACCCTAACATACTGTTGTTTTTTTTGTTCAGCCTCTCTTAGAAAAACTTCAGTCATTGATTAAAGAGGAAAATATAGGATGTGTTAAACCTGCAGGTAAAACAGAAGGCCCAACTTGTGAGACAAGTTTGGATTTTTATGGTGGTAACTGTCAGACTGAAGAGAAGTACATGAGGTATGACTTGGGAGATCTGAAGGGTGCTCATATTGATTTTGATCCAGAGGTGGTCCAAATAAAAGCTGGAAAAGCAGAAGTAAGTGACTTACCTAAATAAATAAAAGACCTTTCCAAATTTTGAATTTAAAGAATGAAATAGATATATGCCATCATGTTTATTACCTGCAGATTGACAGGCGGATATCAGCCTTCATCGAGAGGAAACAAGCTGAGATCAATGAAAATAATGTCAGGGAATTTTGCAATGTTATTGATTGTAATCAAGGTAACTGGCTAGCCAGACTTTAATCTTTACAGCCATTTAAGATGTTTTTTTATTTCTTTATTTTTCAAAAGCACTATTCTATATTTAAAGCAGAACTTTATTTTAAGAGTAACTTTGTTTTAAAATTAAGAACTTCCATGTGCACTGCAGATGTTGTCAGATGGAGAAAAAAGGAATTAAGTCACTGGATGACAGTGTTTAATACTTCCTAGACAGAACGATTATAGCTATCACTATGTTCAAGAGCTGCATTCTTAAGTCAGATGATTTTGCAGCTATTCTTCCCATGTTTTAGCTAAGGTGCCTTCCAAAGTCAACAGAATTGCAATTCAGAGGTGTCTTGTGAAATATATACTCAAATTGCAGTTAATTTTATGCTTGTAAAATTACTAAGTGTTTTTTTACAATCAATATGAATTAGCAACTACCTAAATTAACTTTCCTTTCAACATTACTCACACTTTTGGTGTTTTTAATGCACCAACTGGCACAATTGACTATATCTATAATGAAATAATCTTAAATCCATCTGGTAGGCTGGATACCATTAACATGATAAGAAACTGTAACCAAGTGCATCTTAAAAGTGAAGACACTTTTATATGCATAAGTAGTACAGAGACATTTCCTAAGTACCTGTGAGCCCAGATGTGCATTGTCTCTGTGATGTATTTAGGCTTTTAGAGATCAAAGCTTATCGTTCATAAGCTTTACAGGAAAAGAGTTTAACTCCTTGAATATTAGTTGTAATGAAAGAGACAGCTGAAGTCAATTAGAATATTCTATCTAGAAAAATATCATTTCCTAATATTGTTAATTACATGCAGAAGAAATTGTTGTAAGACATTCCTTTGTATGCTCAGGCATAACAAAATGTGTAAAGCTTTGGTATATACAAACACAGAATAAGAGAGAAACATTAGAATAAACTAAGATGGTCTGTAGGTTTTTATGGCTAAGAAAATTAGAGAAATCAGAGACATTATAATAAATGCAGGTAGGAGCGAAAAGAATGCCGATGAATAAACTAGACCAGTATAAAAATAGAAGAACAGTTTCAAAAAAAGGACTTAAGAACAGAATAGCAGTGGTAAGCAGGGAAAAGGCTTCTGAACAGTAAAAAAGAATTAAGTTACAGAGAAACTCAATGGAAAGTAAAAACCTAATAAAATTTAAATTGGAAGGAATTTGGTCCTGATCTAATAAACCTTTATATATACTTACATACATTTATGCATGGACCAGTTAAAACCAGTAAGTCCATGAAAGTGTGTGACCCTATTAATGAGTGAGTGTTTATAGAATGAATTAAGTATTTATGATCTTTTTATTGTCTGAAATACTGTTTAGATTTTTTAAAAGCCTCAAAGATAATGTTGGGTAGAATATTTTAAATTAAAAATACATAATTATTTAGGACCTCACTTTTTATATTTTTATTGCTTATCTAGAAAACAGCTGTGCCAGAACAGATGCAATTTTCACACCTTATCCTGGATTTAAAAGCCATATAAAGGGTAAGCAACAATTTTAATACCCATTTATTAAGTGTCCAGGTGGAACTGCAGATGTTGAATCTTTGACTTAAAAACTTTTTAATAGAATGCTTAAAAAAAGCAATCTTAACATACTGATGTTTTTACTCTAGTGAATACTTCTTTGCTTACTTCTCCCATGTTTTCAATCCCAAAACTGGTTCATTAAGCTGATAGTTGTGAACTGAAGACCAAAGGAATGTAGCTTATTTTCATTGCCTGAAAGGAAAAAATGGAAAAGATAAAGCAGGATAGAGCAACTGAACAATTCTTAGCTTTTCTCCTAAGGAGAAGTCATCAGTCCAGTTAATTTTATCTAATCTCAATTTCTTACCTTCCGTTTATTGTTAGTCTGTCTAAGTATATTGAATTAGAAAATAGTTTTGGGACACAGTGGAAGTTCTGAGCCATAGAGTTATAGGAAGGGACAATATATAGAACAAGCTTACCACTGCACTACCATTTGGAAAGGAGTAAGTAGTGTAAAATTATTGTCCCAACAGGAGTTAGTGTAAAAGATTGCTGTCCATCTAATGCTCTGTAGGTGTACACAAGCTACTCTGTACAAATAAACGAAATTTCCAAAATGAGAATGAAAGTAACCCTCTCTTCCATTTTTCAGAGTGATAGTGTTCAAATATCCACTTGAACTCATTCCTTCAGGAAACTGAAAAGCTTGGAATAGTACTGTGAAGCATTATGATAGGTATAATAAGCATTAAAAGGTCTGGTGAGCTTTGAGGGAGAGCATAATTGAAGAATCAATGCATGATTTGGTTTGGAAGGGACCTTAAAGATCATCTAGATCTAACCCCCCTGCATGGGCAGGGACATCTCCCACTTAACTACGTTGCTCAAAGCCCCATCCAACCTGCCTTGAACACTTCCAGGGAGGGGGCTTCCACAGCTTCCCTGGGCACTTCATTCCAGTGTCTCATCATCCTCATAGTGAATAATTTCCTCCTCATGTCTAACCTAAATCTCCTCTCTTCCAGTTTTAAGCCATTATTACTTGTCCTCTTGCTACATGCCTTTGTAAAAAGCCCCTCCCCAGCTTTCTTGTAGGCCCCCTTCAGATACTGGAAAGGCTGCTATTGTAAGTTTGAGTTCAGAATCCTTCACTAAGAACCCCTTTCAGAGGTCACTTTTTTAAACTGCTAGTCTGTAGCTTGACTGGAAGCATATTGCAGGAAGAAGAAAAGTTTGGGCTTCAAGTAACTAAAACTAAAACAGTTCATTCCTGAAATGTAAACACTTAGAAAAGAATTGGAGGTAAAAGCAGTGTGAACTGAAGCAAGAATGTAACATGAAGTACTGAGTAAGAACGTGTGTGTTTTAGTGTCTGGAGTTGCCAAGAGCCTTTAGGATTGCAGTATACTGCAGTAGTATCAGGAAGGAACTGAGAAATGATGGTGATTTACAGCGAAGAGACCAAAGTCTTCTGATGACAATGTGGATCAGCTGGGGGGCAGGAGAGACTCAGAAGCAGCTCAAGAGTCATTAAAGCTGTTACCTGAATAACAAAAGTTCGAAGAGAACTTCCTTGCTGAGGCCCATCGTGGTTCTTCTAGTTGTGTACCTCCCCTCATCTTCATGTATTTGTGATGCTTCCTGTAATGTTCAGTCTGGCCTCTTCTTTGTATTCACAACAGCTCATATGTGCAACTGCTGATACTGGGTTTTCTGCTGTTAATCACTTGATGACAGATTCTAGATACTGCCATTCTACATGAATATATGAGTAATTCTTTTACTTTGCATATGTAAAGTCCTAGGTTTTTTGTTTAGTTTAGTTACTTGTACAAAAATAGGGGAATACTTTCATTTGAGCCTTTAATCTTAATGTGTGGGGGACCCTTCACAATTTCTTAACACAGGTTTTCACATTTTAGTATTTTTAATATTTTAGTTAGATGTACTTTGTTTCATGTGCATAAATGTTAAATTTGTGTTCTCTTTACCTAGTTTCTAGGGTAGTAAATACATACGGTCCTCAGACTAGATCTGAAGGAGCACATGGGTCCAGTCACAAAGTCAATGTGCCTATTCATGATTGTGGAAACCAAGCTGTTGAGGAGAGATTGCAAAATATTGAAACACACTTACGGTTACAAACAGGTTTGTATCATGTTTTAATTTTGAAATTGGTGTGCCAGTTTGTGCTACAGTTATCATTACGGCAGTAAAACTGGGAAAGTATAAAAACTGTGTCTGTGAAAACAGTGGGTAGATCCACTGAAGGGTTTGGTCAACCCAAGGACTACAGTGTAATGTTTAGGTTCTTATGCCCAAAATGGAACCCAGATTTATGCCTAAATTAGGATAGTGAGTTAGTAAATATACACTTGATGTGTTGGCAAACAAGAGAGAGGCACTTCAGAATGCGATTAAAACCATCTCAGATATTTAGAGGTAGAGGTTCTTTATGGCTAGTGGAGTCACACAGAATCACAGAATGTTAGGGGTTCAAAGGGACCTCTGTAGATCCACCCCCCCTGCCAGAGCAGGATCACCACAGAATCTAGGGCAGGTCACACAGACGGATCCTGACAGGTCTTGAAAGTCTCCAGAGATGGATGCTACACAGCTTCTCTGGGCAGCCTGTTCCAGTGCTTTGTAACCCTTACAGTAAAGAACTTTTTTCTCATGTTAAGATGGAACTTCCTGGCTCTTGTTTGCATCCCTTGCCCTATCAGAGGGCATGACTGAAAAGAGACTGGCCCCTCCTTATTGAAACCCACCCTTCAGGAACCGTTATCTAATCCTGACTTTATCCTTAACTTTCTGGTCACCAAAGGCAAGTTATTCCACCTACATGTACCACAGTTTCCTTATCTAAAAATGGACAAAATGTGAATTTTCGCCTCCCTATTTGAAACCCATTTACCAGAATTGTTAAATACAAAGCTCATATGGCACATCACAGCACAGATTCAAACACTCAGTATGTTTACATTTATGCATACAGAAAAACTAGTACTAAATGTATTGTAAAAGTGGGTGGTATAATGTCAAGTTTCCAAAACACAGCATACTCCAAATCAGTAAGAAAATTCTTAAGGGTGACCCACTGAACAGGAAAAAAATGAGGTTAGGACTCAGTCCTGCTTCATGGATAGCATGTGGGCTGAGGGATAGGATCAACCCAAAAGACACCTTTTCCTAGAGGTGGACAGTTCTTGAAATATAGCTAATGAGAAGCTTCTTTCCCAGAATGTGGAAAGGCTACTGACATTTATATTTAGTTGTTTATTTCACCTGAGCCCTAGTTTTCTAGAATGTAAATCAATGATGCAACTAGCGAGGAGGAAGCTATTGTTCCTGAAAAGTGTTTTTGAAACAGAACAGAACCTGAGATATTCACCTAGTAAAGTGAATGTTCTACATGTCACACTGCAGACACACTCTGACCATTTTTGTTTTCTGACTACTGAAAAGATGTCAATCCATTCTCTAAGAATATGGTGAATATTGTTCTGTGAACACATACTGCTTCAAAGTCCTCTGGTGGCAAGGAGAGTAGAATCCTAGATACTGTTAAGGCAGCAGTTAAAGCTTGACACTTAGCTACATAGATGTCTCAAAAATCAGTTGTTTTTTGTGCATGGAAATTGAATTTGCATGTGGCTGGCCAACATTAAGGTTACAATGTGTAGTAGCTTTGGAGTTTATGCATGATCAGGGATAAATATTGGGGTTAGCTAAGGAGGAGCTCTTACTTCCAGGTTGTGCCTATGGTAGGTGACATAATTTCATCTGAAGGGACAGGTCAGCTAAACTACAGTATAGTTGAAGAGGATAAAAGTGGGCAGTTCCAGCTCAACTCCTGTCCAAATCAGTATTCATCTGAGCAGTAACCTACCTTAGCTACCTGTTCACCAGTTTTAGTTTCTGATGAGTTACTCTTGACTAACCTGCTGTTTTTCAGAACAGCAGCTTCTAGTGGTAGTGCTGCTCTTTTCCCTTTACATTAAAAGATAGCAGTTATTAAATGAGTGAGAGGAGAGGTTAGCCAATTAAATTAGTGGCTGCTGAGTGAGGAGTAGAGAGCAGAACTGAAAGAGGGAAGCTACCTGCAAAATTGTCTGTCTGAGGAAATAGATGAATGGCAATAAAACTCTGCATTAGTGCTTATTTCAGTAGCTTCTGAAATAGAATTGTCTTACCTAACAGACCTAGAAATAAATGGAAATGGGTGGAAACGGAAGAAATAAAGCTTGCTGAGGCCTTGGTTATCACTACTGTTCAGAACCAGATTATAATTTTAATTATGATAGGAATAGTTAGTTGTGATAAACAGTGATTACAGTTTATAGAATAGTATGTAGCATAAGTTAGATGCTTTCTAAGGCTGATACTTTGATCAGTTCTGTTCTTACATGGGGAACAAATGCAGGCTGCTGTAGTATAGTTGCAAATAGCAAATAGGTTTGGGTGGGGTTTTTTTCCTGTTGCTTTTTTGTTTGTGGTGTCTTTAGGGGTTTTTTGTTTGGATTTTTGAGAGGTTGGGGTGGTTTTGTTTGTTTGTTTGTTTTTCAAACTTCTGTTACTCCCTTCCACACACACACTCTCCACTCCTGCTTCTCTTATCTATGGCCAGACAAAGGGGCTGTTCTTTTTCAAGTGTGAGTCATTCCTGTCCTCTAACCTCTGATGCTCAGTGGAGATAGGTTTCCTTCAGAACAGTCTTGGGTATCATGCAGAATTCATGTGTGGTCTGCTCTCCCATCTGCTCCCTCCTGATGCTGCTTTCAGTTTTGAAGTGGTAACATTTGGGGTGTGACCAATGGAGGTAAGTTGCTCCAGAGACACTGTCAGACATATTTCAACCACCTGTGTTGTCTGTTGCCTTGATGAATGAACTGGCTTATCAATCAGTTTTTACTCTGAATCATATTAAAAACCCTTCCTTTTTATTATACCATCCACTAATTTTGTTTCAGCTGCAGGTTGACAGCTGGACTTGAAGAATTCAACTGTAAAATTTGCAATCTTTTGTTACAAAGCTTATTCAAGAGCTTTTCCTGATTTCTTTTTACTTATGTCTTTAGGTGGTCCTGTACCAAGAGACATTTATCAGAGAATTAAGAAGCTTGAAGATAAAATCCTTGAGCTGGAAGGACTGTCTCCTGAATATTTTCAATCTGTAGTAAGAAATTATCTCAGCTTGTTTTAGCATATCTAAATACATTTTGGACTTTTGTGCTTAAATCTTTGATGTACAGGCAAAAAATCTAAAGGGTTAGAGGGCAGACCTTTGTCTACCTCTGATAGACAGCTCTGGCTTGGTGTAATGGTTATATTTCATGTGGAACACCTTTGTAAGTTCTGATTTTTCATTTGAAAAGAAATAGCATTTGTTGTGGGCAAAAAAGGAAGCTTCAGTTAAGTTGATAGTTTTCCACCAAGCATGGAGAAGCTTCAACAGCTTCTGACTGCTCTTCAGTAGGATTTCTCATGTTCCAAAGTACACTTAATTATAAAAAAGATTTCTTTAATCCATGGAATGGCAGTCAATGTTCTTTCTTTACTTTAAAGACTCTTGTCAACATTGTTAGAGAATTACTTGTGGTCCTCTGTCAGTGTGACATTAAGTCTGTTTTGATTATGTCTTGTCTTTAGAGCTGTTCTGGCAAGAGGAGAAAGGTTCAACCTCCCCATGTAAGTGCTGTTAACTTTTGTTTAAGTTTAGGATGTTCTGAGTGAAAAGTAGTCAGAAGTCCTACCAAACAAAGATCCAACTTCTCAGAAATAGCTGAGGATCAGCATTGGATAGCTTGCTGGTGAAGAAAGAGCGGGAAGGAGAAAGAGTGAATTTGTGTCACAATGAAATGTGTCTTCTAAGAGTTGGTTCTGGGGTAGATTGGTTAGTGTTTTCACCAATTAGAAGGAAGATAGAATAAAATAAATCTGTACTGTTGTTAATCAAGCTGGTGGTAACAAGCAATTTGTGACTTCTGATTAACCTCCTAGTAATGTTTTCTGATTTTGTTTTGTGGTTTGATTTTTTAAATGTATTTTGTTGTTTTTGTTATTATTATTATTCATTTCTGTCAGTTTATGAAGAGACAATAAAAGTAGAAATGGCTGACTGGACAAAAGTGCTGCAGAAAGACCTGACGTTATAACAGATATTAACCTAAGTCAGTAAGACTTGCCATTTTCACAACACCTTTACATAAGGGAATGTATTAGCCATTTACCTAAAAGAGAATTTCTCAGCATAAGAAACCATAGCTGGAGCACAGTCTGCTACTAACTGTCACACTTGGAGACGGATGAAGGGGAATGCCTAGAATGGAATGTGGGCCATCTGAAACTGAGGAAGTTGACTTGTTTACAAGAAAAAAATCCTCCATAAGGTTAAATATTTTTATAAAGTGAATGATGACCAGATTAAAAAAAAATTGTCAGGTTCAGTGGGCACAGAGGAGGTTGATGTTGGGCAATAGGAAAAAGCCCTTCAGTTGTAAAGCTGGGTTCTGTAAGATCTTGATAGTCTCATCCAATGTTTTCACATCAAAGGATTTTTTTGTTTTTTCGTGAACCAGTTAAATAAGCATCTAATGGAAATAGCATGGATGTATTCATCCACGATTATGACTGTCCGCTTCTTCTAAGCTTTCATTCTTTTTCTTTCAAGTTTAAATATCCTAGATTCAGACAATTCTGCGTAAGAATTTCTGTCACTTAGTGCTATGTGCACTGACCTCAAATATCAAGTGCTAGTCCACTTCTTTAGCAGTTACAAGATGTAAATGTGGTTTTTATTTTGTTCTTTCAGCAGAACTATTCGTTGGCTGAACTTGATGAAAAGATCAATGCCATAAGACAGGCATTACTGAGGAAAACAAAAGAAAGCAAGTTCAAGGAGGCTGAGCAGCTTCTTCGATAAAAAAAACCCAAACCAGAGTCTTCAGAATCCTCATCATGCTTTACACATCCCTAAAGCATAGGCCTGAGTAGTGTTCATCAGGGATGACTTGAGCAATGAAAACAAAGCAGGCATATAAACTTCTTTTGGGTGATCTTGAAAGTTTGCTTTCAGAAGAACTCATTTAAAAACAGTCTTAATAATGAAATAGTTTAAAATGAAGAATGTTTTAGGAGTAGCATTCTGATAATCCATTTTCCTTCTGTTTTAAAGGGGGATTGCAGCACAGGTTGTATGTGGAAAGTCTTAACCCACATATAAAAGCTACATTTCACATGTAATTCTTGATGATTGATTCGTGTAAGTAGCTTGCATAGATTTGTGAAATAAAATTCAGTACTTCCTCATAAGTAAATTGTCTTAGGAAAAAAATACACCTTGGAGTATGCATGCTCACCTGGGGTTTTTTGCTGTATTTGTCACTGTTTCCACAGCTGTTAAAAATACAGCAAAATGCATTTCTGTTTGAAAGATGGTTATGAAAATTCTATATGTGTAAATAGAGATACGTGTTCTTCACGTATCTTCCTCTGTGTCCTGTAGGAATTCAAATTTCATAGTCTGCTAATAAACATAATATATTCTAAGGACCACTCTCTGGGAAGTTTTGAGAAGCATGTCAGAAGGCACCAGCTTGTCTTCCTTCCATGTGTTCTTGCATGTCTTCTGAAGCATGGACGCTGGATATGTAGTTTAAGATCAGACCTTGGCCACACACTGAAGTGCACTTTTATTTGTTTTAAATAAACCAATTGCTATTTATTCTAGTTCTTCAGTTTATTTGCTGTCTCTGTCTTTATTCTTGTTTAGAAGAAAAGTAGCTGTTATGGAGAGAGCCTTTTATGTTAACTGCTTGGCTTACAACAGTCATGCTATCAATGTCCCTGTTTTCATCTCTGTGACAAATGTGATGAACAGTACTGACTGGCTTGCACTTTGAAAAATAGTAGGCATTTTCTATGATTTTGTGTTCTTATCTAGTCTTAACAGTTGTAGCAGCTGCACCTAATGCTTCTCTGAGGGTGAACCACCAGAGGTGGGAGACAGTGCTGCTTCAGCTCTGGTCCTAGCTCCAGGAAAGAAGGAAGTATGATAGTTACCTGTTCAGATGCTTAGTGCCCACCCAGGAAGAGACTACTTAGAAAAGCTATGAGTGCCTCAAGTACAAGATTGGATGATACAAAGAGGTGCTTTTGCAGTTCAAGACTGTGACCTGCCTGTGTGTAGGACTGTTACTCAGATTGCATGCCGTGTATCAGTACAGTATCCTGCAGAGACTACTTGGGTTACACAAAATGTTGCCATTCTTGAAAATCCTAAGGGCTTATATTATGAGGGTATTTTGGGGAAGCAGCATAATGAGCTGCAATGATTACCTCAAGTACATAAGCTTTACTTGCTGCCTACAAAACATTTTTCTTGGTTTGAAGAGCCATAGCTCAAAAGAGTACAGTGTAGATACAATTTGGCCTAGCACCACCACTTCACAGTAATACTTGGAAGAGTGGTGGGAAGTGGCTGTTAAATCCCTGTGGTAATTTTTCCTGTCCATTTTTATCTTTTATAAACAGTAGCCTCTACTCATGTGCATCTTAATTCAAGTACTGGTGGGACATACTGGCTAAATACTGAATTTGCACTGTGCAGTTTTCTCTACAAAATTCTGGAGTGAAACCCTAGAAAGAGATTCACTGGTGGCAGATACCTAGGTCTGAAAGATTTGTCTAATATTACATTATTGGTAGTTTACATTAAAACAAGTGTGTGTGTGTGTGTGTATATACAGAAAAAAAAAATTGATCCATATGGAGTCCATTCTTACCATAAATTGCAAACACTGCTAATTTCCTCAAGGGACACTGGTTACAGAAAGACTGCATTAGCAGTTTCAAAGTGGCGTTTTCTGTAGTGAATTGCCTGCTACTTGAAAGATCTCTTGCCATGGGATTCTCCTTCTCTTCTTTCTCAAGATAGCAGCAACATAGCAGTTAAGGGTTGAAAGCAATTATGAATATGCTTTGTAGCAAGACAATAGCTAAGGAGACAACAACAGAAGTACTCTGGATGGCAATTTATTAGCCCTATATACTTTATCAAATAAATGCTATAAATACACTTGAAAAATGTCAAGGTGTTCATCTTGCTTCATTAGTAGACCTTTGCCATTCTTTAGTTTTAAGTTGTTAATTTCTTGTATGCCTAATGCCAACATTCCTGTCCTATAAAAATTCATGGAAAGATACTGTCTGCTGTGAGTTGTGTTCTAAAAATAGTTGCAGATTTCAGAGGGCTGCCAAGCTGTTGTAAGTTTCCCTTCCTCTGGTATATGACTTTTACACATATTCAACGCTACTGATCTTACCATTTAGGCTTGCTGGCCTTTTGTCTCTTTGAGCTTTACCTTCTACAACTAACTTCCACTGTAAGGACTATTACTGCAGGAAGAGCTGAGCTACAGAATCCACCACACCCTGATAATAAAGAGCATGCAGGATGGACCTCCTATACTCTCTGTTTTCCAGAAGTACCAATTAAGCTGGTTTTCCTCTGCACCTGAAACACTACAATACTTGCTGGTGGGTGGGGCTGCAGTTGCTGCAGAATTCTGAAAGGTAACCACAAATGAAGAAAAAACAGAGGAAGTTTTTACTGTCTTGTTGGCATGTCTCAATGCCTTGACCAAGACTTGACCTTGGATTGGTCCACACTAACTCTCTTCCAGAAGGAGACATGGAAATCTTAAAAACAGAACTTAGTGTCTTTGTTCAAGAAAGGTAGTTTTCTTCTACTTCCAGCTAGAGCTAGCAGTATAATGTAATGCTGAGGATACCTTCCCTCATACAATGTTTTCCTCTCAAGCTGCTGCTCAGAGCCAGAAGCCTGTGTAACAAGAACTGCTGTGGCTGGTTCTTACTACAGCAACATTTCTCACATGGAAAAGGGCCAGGTTTGGATGAAGGAGCACTTTAGATGTCCAGGTTCTCTCCAGAAGAGTTTACTGAATAGATTAAGCTGTACAGAAACATTTTTGTAGGTCACTTATGTGATCCAGTTCACCATCCAACATACATAATCCCAGTAATGTTGAAGGTTTGCCTCTGAAAGGACATTAGTCCTTTTGTGAAAAAAACCTCTACTGCCCTACAGCTTGTCTGCTGCATGGCTAGAACAACTATTGTATGGCAACAAACATTCTGCCTGGCTGTCAGTCCAGAGCTCCTTAATTTGCAAGCAGGTATCTCAGTCCATGAGCAAACAAACTGCTATAAAAATAATAAACATAGAGCAGATTCTTAATTGATTTAGGTTCACAAGCAAGTGTGCTGTTTATTGAAAGTCTATCTCAACTTCAACATGTCAACATTTGAGAGGAGGTCCCAGGACCACTACCTACCCCGCCCCCCAGGCAGTATTAGAAGTCCTGTTGACATCAGTCATGCAGGAATGTTGTAGCTGGATTCTGAGCTTTGTTGCTGCAATCCCACAAGAGTAAGAAAAGCCATTCTCTTAAGACAATGTGAAGCTGTGACTTAGTAGCAGGTAAAAACCACCTGCATTTGGGTTACACAATAGTAGTTTGGTATAAGAGGTTTCCCTGTTGAGGAATCCTTGCACTGAATGTAACTGCAACCAATTAAGGTTCAGGTGGAATTCTGTCATCAATTCCTACATGTGTCCAATTTATATATATTTAAATTGCAGGTAACTAGGAAGGCATTGCTCAACTTACCCAGAATAGGTTACCATTGTTCTATTGTACAGCTACTCCATGTTACTGACACAAACTTATTCTGCTGGAAAACTGGCAAGAGCAGAGAAAATGAGCATGGTATGTCCTGCTGGTAATGGATTACAAAGCATTCCAGATTGCCAAGGCTCTTACCTGAGCTCTGTCTTTTCTACCCTGATGTTCTGAAGGTGCATGCTTTGACAGAAATGCTTAAAATCTCTGTAGCCAACCAAAACTGACTTGGTTTCCACTGCAAGAAGGCAAGACATACGTGTATCCCAGTTCCAATAGGTTAAATTTCACAGATAAAATGGGACATTCTGTCTCCTTATTCATGCTTGCCTGAAAGCTGATCTTTCCTGGCTTTGCCAGAGTCCAATCACCATGTTTCATACTTCACCTCCGTTATTAGGGACTTCCAGTTACAAGATAAAAAAAGATAACTGTGCAGTACTCTAAATTTGGCACTAATTATTCGAATAAGGTGTTTAAGAGGATTACATTTAAGCCAAAAACATTTGTCTCCCTTAGGAATGCTTCACGTTGCTGTTTAGTACCTTGCATGAGAGATGTAGTAAAACATTGGGGTTTGTGTTACTGTGCAGCTCTGCAATGTGTGCATGATGGGTTTCTTAGCTTCAAGCTCCCCCGAGTAGGGAGTGATGCATCTCTAGGAGGCTAATTTCTTACAGTTGAGTGCAGGATTTTAATAAATAAACCCAAAAGTGAAGTGCCCTTTTGAACAGCCCTCATATCAGCAGGTAATATCAGTAATTTAGGAAACTCAAACCATTCACCACTTCATCCAATGTATTGTGATCAGTGCTGGATTTTTTATTTGGTTTGGGTTTTGTTGTGGGCTTGTATTGTATTTTTTTTAAATACATCATAAGTTACCTCTCATTTTAATTAAGACCTTACAACACCACTGAGAAAATTTAACCCTAGAATAGCAAAGATATATTATTTGAAGAAGCATTAAAAATGCTGAATAAAAATATAATTTTGATTGATGAGTTTACAAACCATTTGCACCAGTGAGAACAAACATTATCTACAGTAACAGATGCTGAACCATCCTCTCCTGAATGAAGACATGAAGAGGTGTCTTTGAAGAGGCAAAAATGTTTCATAAAGATTACTTTTTCCTTCCCCCATAAAAGCGTTTCCCCTAACCCTTCTTGTTAAAGTCTTGCTGAGTACTTCAGGCTTCTGTAGCTGTAGGAATCTCTTCTCTGATTTCAGCTGTGCTGTTACATGAACCCATATAGTCCTTTCATAGTTGCTTGCTATCTCAAAGTATGGCAGAAAGTGGATGAAAGTTACCTGCAGCCCTGCAGGTTGCTGAGGATCCAGTCAACCTGTCCAGAAGTGTTTGGCTACACCTTTGCTCCAGCCCAGGTAACATGCTCCTATGGCCAG